ATGGAGGTCACCCGGTCACCGGTGAAACCGACCAAAGGGGTTTGGAGGGGAGACAGACTTTCCTCTCCAATTTTAAGCTGGCGGAAGCAGCTAAGGAATATGATGTCTGAAGAACTGCCGTTGTTGATGAGAACCCGTCTGACCTTATAGTTGGAGAGGAGGCCAGAAATGACGAGAGGGTCATCATGAGGATAACGGATGCCAGTACAGTCGGCGTCCGTGAAGGCAATGGGCTCTGTCCACTGCTTTGGCTGTTTGGAGGGTCGGTCTATCGTAGCAACTGCTTTGTCTGAGCCTTACCTTATCTTTCTGAGTTCTGCTCTCTGAGCCGAGCGGGATGGTCCCCCACAAGTAAGGCCACCTGAAAATGACTCGAATTTCACCAACTAGTGGAGGGGGATTGCTTGGCGGCCGAGGCTGTTATGGAGGGCGATCATGGCCTTGGTTAGGTTGGGCTGGCTGCCGGGGTGGGGTGTGCCGGCAGTTGTTTCTGAGGGGCTCGGTTCTTTGCCTTTGCTGTGGGCGGGTGTCCGTGAACCGGCTAAGACGCCCTTGACGTATTAGGGTCTCGACCTTATCCTTGAGGTTGATGCAGTCATCAGTGTTGTGGTCGTAGTCCTGGTAGAAACGACAATATTTGGACTGGTCTTTTCGATTGGAAGGGGTCCGTGAAGGTAGAGGCCATTTGAGGGGGGTAGTCCTGTTGGATCTGGTGGAGGACTTGTTCCATAGGAGAGTTAAGGGGCGTGTACTGCTCGAACTGACCGGGCGGTCGGGCGGGTGTCGACCGGTCAGTGCAAGGAGGCCGATCGGTATAATGGGGTGTTTGGCTGTTATACTGGGTGTTTCTAGGTTCTGAGTCTTTTTTCTTTTCTCTGGGAGTCGGGTTTTTAGATATGGGATCCTGTCGAGCGGCTAGTGAATCTTCGGCATTCATGTATTTCTGGGCTTTAGAGAGTATGGTTGTCATGGAGGTCAGGGGGTTTTTGGAGAGGGAGAAGAGGAAATCGGACGGTCGTAGCCCGGCCATGAAAGCCGTGAGGATGACCTTGTCGTCGTTCTCTGCTACTTGCAGGGCTTTGGTGTTGAAGCGGGTAACGAAGCTGCGCAGCGACTCCCCCTCGGTCTGATGGATGTTGAGGAGTTGGGTTGCAGGACGGCGTTGGCGCTGGGCTCCAATGAAATGGCTGAGGAAGGAGTCGCTGAGATACTAGAAAGTGGAGACAGAGTCTGCTGGTAACTGGCTGAACCACAGTCGAGCTGACCCCTTCAGTGTCACGGGGAAAGCCCGACACATGATCTCGTCAGGGAAGACATGGAGGATCATGAGGGTACGGTAGGTGTCCAGATGATCGACTGGGTCCGTCGTACCGTCAAAAGAGTCAATGGTGGGCATTTTGAACTTTGCGGACAGAGGTTTGTCTCGGATGGAAGCAACAAATGGTGAGCTTGTCGTGGTAGAGGGTTTATGCTGAATGTTCTGCATGACCCCTTGAAGCTGGAGCTTCATTGCTCGGAGTTCAGCATCCCAGAGGGGAATGTGGTCACCATGGTTAGTCAATGGGGGCTGGACACTGCTGGCTTCCCCTTTAGGGGCGGGTGCCACGACCGAAGGGTGTGAAGGGGGAGGTGGTAGATTTATATACGGGGGAGGAGGTTACGAACCTTCCAAGTTGGGTGGATAGGGTTGCGGAACAGTATGGCTCGGGGCTCTTTCTTGGTTAGGTGGAATATCTGGAGATGGTGGAGGAGACATCGGAAGGTTTCTTTGGAGTAAAGCATTTATCAGGGCCTGGTTTTGTTCGGCCATGCGGTTAATGCTGTTGGAAAGCTCAATGATATACTGTGGTGAGTTGTTTAGATTGAGAGGGTCGATTTGATGGTTGGCAACATTATGGCGAGAGGCCATGGATCTAGTCGTGACCATACACTTGGATGGGTAGGAGGAAAAGGTTGTTAGGACAGGGTCTCTGGCGACAATGAGCACAACTGACGTCCGGATAAGAACCACTTCCCACAGACGGCGCCAACTGATGATACAGTTTGTCCCAGTGAATGGATCGGACTGGTCCAAGCTCCTCAAGCCTGGGTCCAAATGATCAAGCTCACCGGATAACCTGCAAACAAGTTCAACGGGGAACGAGGTAGTCCTCCAGTGAACCCTCCGACGAGCAAGTTAGGAAGAGAAGTAGAGTATAGAGGAGAGATTAGAGATAGAAAAGCTTAACCTTCTTCTTGTCTTCAACGTTTGCTTCTATCCTTTGGTAATCATTTCGCTGTCCCTTCCGACCTGCCCTCCTCGCCGAAAGTCTATGCTGTAGCTTACCTTGTTCAGGGTAAGGGGATCCTGTTCCGACGGAGAGGTGTTGTCGTAATAAATGCTGTGATGGGCTGCCTTAATGGTGATGTGCAGTGGCAATAACTTTGAAGATCTTTGTCTGCTGATGTGGCTCGTCCTTTGCCTGCCATATGTCTGAATGTCATTGCCTCTTTGTGCCATGCCGGATTCCAGTTGTTCTGGACTCCACCAGCTGGGTTATGTACTGGGCTCCAAGTGATGGGCTTGAGTTGTTTATAATGGGCTATGGCCTCTATGGGCTTAGCCACGTCATATAACATTATTCTTGTTCATATGAATTTAAGTTCACTGATTGGATTCACTATTATTAGTTTAATAATAAGATAAATTACAAATACACCCCCTAACGCTTACTTAAAATATAGATTGTTCCCTGTAATTTGAAAAATTACAAATATTCCCTCATTAGAATTTTTTATTTAATAGAATTAACTAAAAAAATGAAATTCATAATTTCTCTCCTATAAAATAATAAAATTATTTAAATTATTAATTGAAACATATTTTTAATATCATTAAAAACTGTTAATTGACTTGATAATTTATTAATAAAATAGATGATTTGTTATGAAATTAAAAATCTCAAGGGGTGTAATATAATTTTCAAAACTACATAAGCGATTCGTATTTTAATCAAATCTAAGGACATGTATTTATATTTTACCCCTAATAGTAACAATAATAATTTTTAGTACAAAATCTCTAACAAGCAAATTGATTTCGTTGATGCTATCTTTTTCCCTTTCTTTGGTAGATCAAAATCACGAAATAACATATCTTGCTAGATAAATATAAATAAATAAATTATATAACTCCTTATCTATTCCTCGCACTTTTTACAAAAATAATTGATAACTCTAATAAAGAAACTATAATGAATTCTAATGGAATGAGTCTCATTGTAATGTGATATTTTAATCTTTTTTATTATTAAATTTCTTGACACATTATTAGAGCTCTATTAGAGCTCCAAAATTAAGAAAATGTATCATTGCTCGACTTTTTATAATAGAGGATAATTTCAAGAAAGAAAATGTTATTTAATGTTTAATGAGAAATGATTACTTTTGATATACATATATATTAAAATGTGTATAAAATTATATAAAAGTTTATGAAGATTTGTAAAATATATATTAAAATTTTAATTTCTTTTAAGATCATTATTCTTAACGAACACTATTGAGTAAAGAGTTCTTGAGCAAAACCTTTTATAAATACTATAATCATATAATTTTGGACAAAATTTTGTATATATATTCTAATTGATTTATTTTTAATGAATTATAATTTTCAATTTAAGCAACTTCCTTTTTAATTGAGTGCAAAACAAGGCCCAAAGCAAAACCGTGAGTTTGGAAATCAAAAAAGAAACAAATCTGCAGAGCAACCAATAAACATGGCTTTCATATTCCAGGCCTAATGAATGGGCTGCGCGAAATGTGAAGTGGCTAGTCTCATGTTTCCCACCTTTGTGTTCTATCACTCTCTCGAACCATTGATCACTGATGTAATTAGGTGGATCAGCCTGGACCACAATTAAAATAAAATAATCCACATTCAAAAACAAGAAACACGTGAATGAGGTGGCCATACTGATAGGCATAAGTCAGCAACATATTAGACCAACAAAACAATAATAATAATAATAAATAATTTATTTTTTAAAAAATTTAGGGATACAAATTCCTATAATTTTAAATTATTTTAAAATTTTTAATATAATATAGGATATTTTTCAAATTTTGTGGATGTGGCCGCCCCCACTGAATGGTAAAACGTTAGGCTGCTCTCCTTCTTGTACCTATTTATGAGTATTAAAAGTCGCCCGTAGATCCATCATTGCCGGACTGAATGCTAAAACGTTAGGCTGCTCTCCTTCTTGTACCTATTTATGAGTATAAAAAGTTAGGCTGCTCCTTGATTGGTAATCTTCATTTGAAATATACAAACACAATTATAATATTCACACATCATAATACAGTTGATAATTACCTATATCAATTAAATAAAATTATTTGATTACGGTGAAGAAATCATGTATCTTTGCAAGTCACATCGGAGACAGATTGAGCAGATCCAGACTAGGTCCCAGCAGCAACATGAATTTGGAATTTCTTTTCAAATTGCATGAATTAAACTTGGTGTAATCCCAACTCTAATCAATTATCATGTAGGTAGCATGAGACAGAGACTGAGACGGAATCTTAATCAAAAGCATCATTTCTTCCTTCACGGTTCACGTGTTAAGGATGTTTGTAACAAAGTATGGCTAGATAACAACTTGCATTGGCAAAAAATGTTGCATAGTATTTGAAATAATAATTGGAGAAAGTGAGAGAAGATAGAGATGAGCGAATAGAGAGAGAGAGAGAGAGAGAGGCACAATTGTTTCTATGAATTGTACATATCTATTACACAAAGAAGGCACTCTATTTATAGAGGATGCCTTGGATGCCTATGAACAATAACATAATGCTACACTAACATAATGCCCTAACATAATGCTACACTAACATAATGCACTAACATAATGCTACACTAACATGATAATGCTACACTAACATAATGCACTAACATAATGCTACACTAACATGATAATGCACTACATAATGATACACTAATATACACTAACAGTATTCACTTCAACAGTAAGTTTGTCTCAATGGTACCCAAAATAAGAGCATATGTTATTGCTAATAAACACCCTTCATGCAGAATGAGATGCTTCAAGGTTAGACATCAATGTTCACCTCAATAATATGGGTTATATGCATCAGATTTGCATCTGAAGCCAAACGTGCAAATTTGAGAGCAGTTTCCTTAACTCGCTCCATTAAGATTGCAGCTTATATTCCATCATGCCTGGTTGTGTAGAGATGACCTAATCAAAAATTTGGCAATTTTCTCACTCACCAGTAATCTTTACAAGAGCATATGCCATCAACAAAATGGTGAAACCTATTGCAATCTCTAACAACAATAACCCGGCCAAAATTCCTAGAAATCATCTTTATAGCAACATGACAATCATCACATATCCTAAGGTTTTTCACTATATATATAGGTGAACCGGCACTTGTCTTTAAAATGGCAAAAGCAACAGCCAATTTTTCACTATGAAGTGAGAGTGCTAGCTCCTTTTCTTCCTCATCCAAGTCAAGTAATACCTCCTTTGTGTTTCCCACATAACCCTCCATCTTCAACCTCTTCATAATCTCTTCAAGCATCATATATATTTCTCTCGTCTCTGGACGAGACTCGTCTCCCACCAAAAACTCATGAATGACACCCCCCACCTCAACCATGCTACAACCAGGAACTTTCCTAATCCCCTTTGCCTCCATTATATCCCTAACGTGCCTTACATCCTTCCACCTACCAGTCTTTGCATAAATGTTCGACAAAAGCACATAAGCTCCGCTATTCGTGGGTTCCAACTCAATTAATTTCTTGATTGCAACTTCACATGTTCCAATGTCCCCGTGCATTCTAGATCCACTCAAAATAGCTCCCCATACAAGAACATCAGGTTCCATTGGCATAGATTTTATAGTATTCCATGCCTCCTCTATTAGGCCAGCTCTTCCATAAAGGTCAACCATGCAACCATAGTGTTGAATCAAAGGCATAATGCCAAATTCTACACTCATCCTCCTAAAATACGATTCCCCTTCACTCACTAAACCCGCATGTACACAAGCACAGAGAACACCCAAAAATGTAACAGCATTAGGTCTCACCCCATGCTTTGTCATCTTTGAAAATAAATCAAGACATTCTTGACTCTGCCCATGCATAGCCAAACCAGAGATCATTGCACTCCAAGCCATTACATTCTTGTTAGGACCTAAACTATTGAACACCCATCTTGCTCTTTCAATGCTCCCACATTTGGCATACATGTCTATTAAAGAAGTCCCTAAAACAACATCAACTTCCATCCCACATTTGTCAATATAAGCATGGACCCATTTCCCATGCTCAAGTGCACCTAACTGTCCACAAGCCGAAAGCACAACCGACATGGTGAATTCATTGGGCCTAACATCCCTGGTTTCCAACTCCTGCATCTCCCTAAACAACACAAGCGCTTCTGTACATTCACCACACCTCACGTACCCATCTATCATACAACTCCAAGAGATTACATTTCGTTCAGGCATTTCATCAAACAACTTCCGCGCAATTTCGACCAAACCCATTTTCACATTCGCATTGATAATCGAATTCCAGGAGGGTAAATCGGGTTGGACAATCTCGTCAAACACATGTTGGGCAAAACCCAAATTGCCACAAGCAGAGTACATGGTGATGAGAGATGTTTGGACGAATGGGTCACAATCGAGGCCAAAGCAAAGAATTTGAGCATGAATGTTTTGTCCAGAGGGAAGGTGAGGTGGAGAACAGAAGGATTGGAGAAGGAAAGGGAAAGTGTGGAAATCAGGGTCGACGCCATGGAAGCGCATGCGGTGAAATATGGTGATTGGGGCATCGATGGGGCTTGTGGATCGAGTCTTGCCTTGGACGTGAGCTCGAATGAGGGTGTTCCAGATGAAGGATTCGAGAGTCGGATGCGAAAGGTGAAGACTTGGGTGCGTTAAGGGTATAAGTTTGGTCAATCCTCGCATTGTTGATTCTGAAATTGGGAAGATAAATTAAGCCATTTCACTATGAATTGGATCTTCCTCGATCTCCAGTGGGTGAGCCAGGTAGTAAGAAGAACCCATCAAACCCTGCAATGGCAGGGACGAAGCAAAGAAAGGAGATGAGAGCATCTTACGACGCTGCTACCTTCCTAAATTATTATAAACCGCATGTTTTACTTTTTATAAAATATAAATTGAATTTGAATTTGAAGGGACGTTGTAGAAGAGTAATGTAATTTAAATAAGTCAGTGTAATTTAAATAAAATAATAATTTTTTAAATAAAATAATAATTTTTTTTAGAAGATATGTCAAACTTAGCCAAACAATTTTTTAAAATTTACGTCTTGGAGAATGTATTGTCTGTCAAATACTTGACTCGCAGGCTTGACTGGCTCTATGAACTTACCTAAAAACAAGGAAAGGTAATAAAAAGACTAAAGAAAGAAAGAGAGATAGATTGTGGGCTGTTTTGGAAAGCTGTTAAAAACTTATTTTTTTAATTTTTTCTTAATTTATTTTATCTTCTTATAAATAAAAAATATAAAACATAATGTGATTTAAAATTGATAAAAAATTAAATCATCTTTCTTTCTTTGAATGCTCTCCTGTAACATATTACTTGAAGGCTTACTTGTTTTATTCTCCTGTTATGCTTTCTTTCTTTTCAGTCCGCTGTGGCTCCTAATCTTGAGCTCACTTTCTTTCTTTTTAAGAATAATATGATATAAATAAGTCAGTGTATTTTAAATAAAATAATAAATTTTTTTAGAAGAATAATATGATATAAATAAGTCAGTGTATTTTAAATAAAATAATAAATTTTTTTAGAAGAATAATATGATATAAATAAGTCAGTGTATTTTAAATAAAATAATAAATTTTTTTAGAAGAATAATATGATATAAATAAGTCAGTGTATTTTAAATAAAATAATAAATTTTTTTAGAAGAATAATATGATATAAATAAGTCAGTGTATTTTAAATAAAATAATAAATTTTTTTAGAAGAATAATATGATATAAATAAGTCAGTGTATTTTAAATAAAATAATAAATTTTTTTAGAAGAATAATATGATATAAATAAGTCAGTGTATTTTAAATAAAATAATAATTTTTTTTTAAAATATGTCAAACTTAGCCAAACAATTTTTTAAAATTTACGTCTTGGAGAATGTATTGTCTGTCAAATACTTGACTCGCAGGCTTGACTGGCTCTATGAACTTACCTAAAAACAAGGAAAGGTAATAAAAAGACTAAAGAAAGAAAGAGAGATAGATTGTGGGCTGTTTTGGAAAGCTGTTAAAAACTTATTTTTTTAATTTTTTCTTAATTTATTTTATCTTCTTATAAATAAAAAATATAAAACATAATGTGATCTAAAATTGATAAAAAATTAAATCATCTTTCTTTCTTTGAATGCTCTCCTGTAACATATTACTTGAAGGCTTACTTGTTTTATTCTCCTGTTATGCTTTCTTTCTTTTTCAGTCCGCTGTGGCTCCTAATCTTGAGCTCACTTTCTTTCTTTTTCTGCTTTGGCTTCTAATCTTGAGCCCGCTGTGTTCTTGATCCTCAGGCTTGACTTCTTCTTGGAGTCCGTGCCTTGCGATACTTTAGGCTAAAAAGTCTATTTTCTTTTTTGTGACAATTTTAGCCTCAAACCCACTTCTCAAACAATGCCAATGTAATACTGTCAATGGGAGATTGATCAAACTGATCTATGTGCTCCATGGGTCTACTGGCCTTCATCTCCTTGATATATGCCTACAAAGAGGTCCAATGGAGAGGTACCAAGGTTGGAGTGGTTTCTCCTCGTAGACACTCCGATGATTAAGTTAGACAGGAAGTGATCGGGAGAGAATGAATAGAGAGAGATAAGAGAGTGTTACTTGTTGTCTTTAACGTTCTTTACAAGCTTTGTAACAAGCCCGCGGGGGACCTCGCTACAGCTCGGACTCGACTTTCGCAGTCACGGTTCTAAGTCTGAACCAAAGAGTCCAAATCTGGCAAATTGTTTTGAGAATCAGATTTTTTGAAAAAGTAGTGCCAAACATGGACTGCTTTGCCACTTGTTGTCTTTAACGTTCTTTACAAGCTTCCTTATACCTTTTACCAATCACTTCCTTATCCATTTGAGCTGTCTTATTGGCCGAAAGTCTATAGTCTACTCGCCGTCGGCCATGATAATTTCACCATATCAAGGGACAAGAGGTCTTGTTGCATTTAATACTATGGCATCTTCATTAATGCTTGATGTCTGGGCTTAATAACTCTGTAGGATCTTTGTCTGTCATGTGACTGACTCCATTTCTGACAGATGTCCAAACGCTATTGGATTTGGGTTGAACTTCTCGTGGTTACTAGGCTTTAGCTCATGGGACTACCTAAGGGGCTGTCACGCCCCAAAATTTGGACAATCAAATATTAAATTAGGGCTAAACCTCAATCAATATTTCATCATTCAAATCTTAGGGGTGAAACAAAAAAAAAAAAAAAAACTAACTAAACGCCAACCAAACCATCCACCATAAATTTCATAACTAACCAATACCTCCAACATTAAAGTAACAATACGTAATCAAAATAACTTAAATAATGTACGGTTACAAATCATGCCAAATTATCACAATACTAAAGTCATAGAAAAAAAAAATACATAAACTAATATTAACCCTAAACTCAAGAAAACAAAAGAAGTCCGAACGACAAGTCTAACACTATAGTAATTCCACGTCACCACCGTAGCCCCGATTAATCTTGCGAAGGAAGCTCAGTTGTGCTCAAACAGAACGCACCCGAGTTGCCAAGAAACAAAACGGGCCAGTATACAGGTATACTGGTATGAGTACAAGATTTAACACATATTTGTTCACTAGACACAAACAAAAATACATACAATTCTTATTACGAGACAAGACAAGTAGTTCCCACCGCATCGGGACGAATGGGTAGTTTCCCGAGATACGGTGACATTTAGTTTCTTATCCGTACACAACGAAATATAAATTGATTATAAAATAAACAAAATAGGAATAAAAATATGATGGGCCAGCCTTGCGTAAAAAAAGTTAATAAGACCCACCATCCTGTAAAAAAAATAAAGTTAATATAATTTAATCATAAGTAACTTGTTGAAGAAGTATAAAAATGCACCGTTTTATGCTTAAATAATTCGAATTGATCAAAACTCAAACAACAAAAGTTGTACAGAATCAAATTTTTTAAAAGACAACGTGAACGAATTTAACAGAAACTGAACAGGCTGAGAGAAAAATTTGATAGAAAAACCTAGACGGAATTCAATCGAAAGATCTGAAGCTGAAAACGAACAAAAAATACCCTAAGATGATTTTTTTCGAAAAAGTTCAAAACACGAAAAGTGTGTAGAATAATGTTTTACTTCAGTTTACGCAAAACAAAAAAAACTGAGCTCATTTCGTGGGTTAAAACAGCCTCTAAAATCTACATTGTTAAAATGAATCAAACCTACAATAACCAAGATAATCCGATTATAAGTTCTAATCGATATTTTTAATAAAAAGTTAAAACACAAAAGTTGTCTAGAATCACGTATACATACCTCTTCTTAAATTTCATAATTTATCGAGGTCATTTACTATTTTTCAAGATATGCAAATCAATACAATTCACATTATACTAATAAACTCATGATTAAATTTTTTGTACTTTAACTCTACCACTTCGGCCCTCCACATCCGGCCTGCACATATATCCCATGTGCCTCCCGTATACCTAACACCGCTCCGAAGCCCAACTTGCAAGGGGATATCGTCCCGAGTTTGACTCACACTCCCCGGATGGTTAGCTTATACGTAAGCGCGTAAATCAAAGCACTCATTTACTCATGAGAACGAGACAACAATATATATATATATATATATACACAACATCTCACTCGTGAGAATAAACATAACAATGCCAAGCTTAAGGCATCCAAATAAATCTCATAATTCTCACATTTTTTTTATACACTTTTTCTCACCAACACTCAAACAAAACAACAATCCATTGAGTCATGGTGGAGTGTAAGGAATTTATGTATGGATTCCTAATTTATTTTAATTTCATACATCCATGCGTGTGATTATAACCATAAAATAAATCCATACAAAAATCATAAGTCTTACATACACAACTAATCAAAATAATTAAAATCAATCAATCATCTAAAATCCTAAACCTTACATACACCACTAATCAAAATAATTAAAATCAATCAATCATCTAAAAATCATAAACCTTACATACACAACTAATCGAAATAATTAAAATCAATATATCATCTTTATATAAAAACAAAATCAAACTAATATCAAATAAATAAAAATAAATAAATAAATAAAAATAACGAATTAAATATAAATTAAGAAAAGTGAGTTTTATACTCAAAATATTTTTTTAAAGATCAAAAAATTATTTGAAAAACTAAAGAAGTCACCAAAATAAAACCCTAATTTTTTATTTTCTTCCCTCTCCTCTTTCTCTCCTCGAGCGGTCTCTCTGCTCTCGCTCAATCTCTCTCTCTCTCTCTCTCTCTCTCTCTCTCTCACACACACACACACACACACACACACACACACACACTTTCTCCCCGTGTGTGGCTTGCGGCTGCTGTGGCCCTCTTTTCTTTTCTTTTTTACTAGCATATCACCCGTGCTATGCACGGATTGTATTTACAATTATCTATATATGTAAATTGTGATTTTTAAATGTCTTTTTTTTTAAATACCTTTTTTTTCCTTTTTTATATTATATTAAAGTTCAATATTTTGATAATAATCATAGTATTAGACTTTTTAAGGAATTAATTTTTTTTATTATTATATTATATTAAAATTTAATATTTTGATAATAATCATATGCGTTGGACTTTTCAAGAAATTTCTTTTATGCTTGTTCTTAATGCATTAAAGTGTTATTATGAGGGATAATAATCATATGTGTTGGGACTTTTCAAGGAATTCATATGTGTTGGATTTCAAAGAATTTTTTTTATGCTTGTTCTTAATGCATTAAAGTGTTATTATGAAGGTAAGACTTGGGGGTTGGGATAAGTTAATAAATGCTAAAAAAAAAATTTAAATCAAAAAATCAAGAAATTTAGATTAGGAGATTAGAACTCCCACAAGACTTGGGGTTTAAAACCCCTTTTTGCTTAATATATAGTATAGATATAGATTTATTATCTAAGTG